ATATATATATATATATATATATATATATATATATGCATGCAGCCGCTTGGCAACGGAAGAAGTCTTTGTTCAGGAGTATTGGTCACCCCGCCAGCATGTACGTTAGTGGCCGTGGCTGCGTGGGTGGGGGTGTAGAGGTAATAACGCACACCTATATCAGCGGCAATCGACGATGTTTACACTTCTTTTGAAGCGGTTTGAGTTACGCTCGTAGAGGAAGGAGAACATGCAGCCGCGTGCGTAATAACGCGCCGAGCTAACACTCATCAATTATCAGAGCAGTAATTAAATGTTTGTGCTTATGTTAGAAATTAGTAGAACGTAGTTTTGGAGCGATGGCGATCGAGTGTATGCTCTTTGTGGCGGCCTCGTCGTCAGGTTGACCGAAATTCTGTTGACTGTTTGTTTGACATTTTTGTTTAACCGCATATCCGCCCCAAATTTCCGAAACTGAGATTTATCTCCGAGATTCGCCGCAGATCTGCAATATAGCGCCGTATTTATATCCTCCTCCCTTTTCCGTAACACATACTTTATCCAGCAAGGCCTTTGCGCGGGCGAGGCTGTAAACCTTACGCAAATGTAGACGAATTAGATACTAGACGGAATATCAGACGAGAGTACGTCGTTGCGATCTGGTAGCTGCGCATCATCACAGACGTCAGTAGACTGGCATGATGTCCGCGGACACACGCTGTAATCATCGTAGTTAATCTCTCTCTCTCCTCCTCATCACCAGTGAGTCGGCGTCTCATGCGTTAATAATGCGACTAAATCCCGCTAGATAGAGCCCCCGCCGCGGCCAGCTAGTTGATCTCTCATTCGAGATCTGTCCCGGTGTATTTAAATATAAATGATGCATCGATAAATGAATAAATGAATGGATAATGAAAAAGTGAGTGAATGAACCAATCAATGAATGAATGGATGAATAAATAAATAAATGAATATATAAACGAATAAATGAATGAATGAATGAATGAACGAACGAACGAACGAACGAACGAACGAACAAACGAACGAACGAACGAACGAACGAACGAACGAACGAACGAACGAACAAACGAACGAACGAACGAACGAACGAACGAACGAACGAACGAACGAACGAACAAACGAACGAACGAACGAACGAACGAACGAACGAACGAACGAACGAACAAACGAACGAATGACCAAGTATGCAAGCAAATAAACAAATGAACTAATTCATTAATTCAGACAACAGGTCGTATATAGTCTATAGCTTCTACGGGGACAAGGACGGCAGCTTCCCGTTTGTAAACTGTGTAAAAATAAAATAAACCTAGTAAATGTATATAATGCTACACAACAAATCTGATAGATATAACACATCTGTCTTCAGCCTATAATGTGCCTGCGTACGTGTGCGTATGTGCGTGTGTGAATAGTTAGTTAGATGTTTGTGTTTATGCATTAATTCTGCAACTCTTCACCTTTGCCCTTTTCTGAGCAGGAGCGAGATGAGAAGGAGATGCATGAGAACATATTCATGGTGAACGAAGAAACCACGTCGCTCGTATTCTCGCTGAAGAACCAAGTCGGCGGTCTAGCCAGAATTCTGCGTGTATTCCAGGTAATCTTATCACAAACACCATACCTGTATATAATATATATATACGTCTCAAATAAGTATTGACAGGTAGCCAATGAGCGGAGAAATAAAAACGTTCTAAAAACGCTGCTTAGTAACCAAGTGTCACAAGAACTACAGTTTGGCGTGCATGCGCGCGAGGACTCCACACAGACTGATCGACTAATGCTAGCCGCACACTATCCGATTTTGCGCTGTGCACAGCATAAACGCGCCGCACACTATCCGACCCGATCTGCTCCCGATTCAAAATTCGAATCGGGCCAAAATGAGCTCCAGAGCCAATCTTAAGCCTCCCGAGCCAAACTAGAACATCTCGATCCAATCGTAAGCCTTCAAATCGCGCTCGGGTCGGATAGTGTGCGGCTAGCATTACCATCCTAGAATAGCCGACAAATCGAGCTTGACGCCGTCCTAGCAACATTGGAAGAGGAATAGTCGATTAACAAACACGCACATTTCGAACATACATTCAAACAAGGGCAAACATATTTTCCCGCCTAATCTGTCTACCCGCGGGTGTCATCGCGGCTCGTCAAAGCTACGTATATAGAAACGCCGCGGCGTTGTCACACGCGTACGCAGTGAGTTTAATTGGCAGAGCTGTCTCGGTGGTTTTTTTCAAGAGTCAGCATTGCCAATTAAATGTGCGGTGAGTGTGTTTTGGCTTCTTCGCGTGCCCTTCAACGATTACGCGCTCCGGCGCAAGTGTTCGTCACAATATTGAATAATGGCTAGCGAGCTTACCGCACGCACAGCGGCGGTATCTACGACGTCATTACACACCAATGATAACACGTATAACATGTAGGTCCTAATGGATGGCATTTGAACATGAAATATATATATATATATATATATATATATATATATAGTGGAAGCCCTTTATAATGCGATAGTTGGGGTATGAAAAAATCGATCGCGTAAAATGCGGGGTCGCAGTTGCAGTAGCGGGTTGGTTTAAAGTTTAAATTTCCTATTAGTCGGGACTACTAACAATCGTTTTTTCACGTTATATCGCCCTTCTCCGTACCAACGATACGTGTAAAATATACCAAACACATAAAATATCTTACAAGAAAGAGAGAGAAAAAAGAGAAAGGGGGGAAGCCAAGTGAAGATCGCGTCATATCTGTACTGGCGTTATTGTATGAAGCGCGCTATATAGCGGGATAGTATATATATATATTTATTTATGTATATGTCTCTATATATATATTCATACCTAAGATATATACCTCATATTTTCTCCCATACCAGAAATTTGAAATCAACGTTGTACACATCGAGTCGCGGTACTCCACACGGCTGGACTCGGAGTACGAGATCTTCATCAGCATAGCATCCGACAAGGCCAAGTTCAACAATCTCATCAAGGATATACAGAACGAAGTGACGTCACTGACCATACACGGCGTCAAACAGAAGATACCAGCGACACCTACAATCGCTGAATCAAACAATCACTGTATGTATGGCACTAACGTGCATGCACGCACGCACGCACGCACGCACGCACGCACACTCATATAAATATATGTGTGACTATACGTATATGCTATTTGGACTATTCCTAGTCGAACTGCTTATGTGTCCATATCAATAGCACGCGTTTCCTAATTTTATCCAATTTCTATGGACCGATTGCGTTGTTTTAACATGACTTCACTTAGGTGTAAAGATAAAACATTATATGTACACATATACATACGCACACGCGTGTTATAATGCTCGCACGTATTTATTTGTATTATATATATAGTCGTTCGTGTGCATTGCTGTTTAGTTGAATTCGTGGAGGGAATGGTGTGGTTCCCAAAAAAGATATCGGACCTCGACCACAGCGCCACCAGGGTGCTGACATACGGAGCCGAACTAGATGCTGATCACCCGGTAAGAATAATAGATAATAATATAATAAATAAACAAATAATAATAACTAGTATTATTATTATCATCATTATTATTATTATTATTTGAAATTATGTAAACTTTTTATTAATATTTGATCTGATTGTTATAATTTCTTATTTGTGGATAGGTTTAAATAATAATAATAATAATGATAATAATAATAATAATAATAATAATAATAATAATAATAATAATATAAAAAAGAAGAAGAATAAATAACAAAATAAATATGAATAATCGGCAATATTAAACACAAAATAATATAAAACACTTAAAGCGATACAGCAATAAATTAATGATCACTTGTGCATAAATAACTTCAAGGCTTATTCATACAGATTCTAAAAACGGGATACGTAACTATAATGACAATATTTTCTATGAATCGCCGATCATTCTAACGACATGTTAATCTTGACGACGTTCATGCATATATTATTACACTATATTATTATATATGTTATGCCTGACGTTATATTAACGGACGCAGTAATAATACTAATGATCATAACATGGTCGCTTCCTGTGTGATCAACGCGATGACGAAATAAATTACTACTGTCATAATTATCATGGATGTATTATGTATGCAGTAGAATTATCATCTAGCCGTGCTTCGGTTGTTGGAGACGAATTCTTTTATTCGTGTCATGATTGCTATGATACACGATGCAATACGAGCGTAAAGACTACATAATCCGGGGCCTGATGTAAAACAAAAACCATAATTATTCATGACATCATAAGAGTAAAGTTTCATAACTTTCGAAGTGCAGTGAATATGTATATATATATATATATATATATATATATATTTATTTATTTTTGTATCGACGCTGCATCGATTCTAACAGTGAGAGAGTTAATCGAGACACGAAACTAGAGAGAGAGAGAGAGAGAGGCGGGACAATCAGCACGCAATCGATTAAGTAAGCATTACCTACACGGACAAATTACAGAATTAACATCATGGTTACATTTATTCACGATAAATTATGGTTACATTATCGTTACATATAAAATAGGTTACTATTTTCAGTGACCTATAATTAGATTGACCACTTAAGCGGATTTCTCTGTGATTTGTTACAAACCGTGGGCGGGAGAAGTGATGTTTGCCTGAGGAAATTTGACAACGGAAAACTATAACGGAAATCATTAGCTAGAAGCAAACCACAATTGATGTCAGCAACTGAAGCATCCGCCTGGCGTGACTGGCGTAAAACTCCTGCCAATTGGAGTCGTGTTAGGACGCACTAAAAGACAATGCTTAGCAACAAAGTGCCACAAAGCACGACACTTGCGACAAAGTAGCCCACGTTGACTTTCTAGTATAGTACTACTAGAATAGTAACAGTAACAAGAAAGCGCGCATATCTCTCTCGTACGAATGGGTCGACTGATGAGCACTGGTACCGGGACTGGGAAAACCCCTCCACGGCGCTTTCGTATGTTAAACCAAACACGCATCGTGTCGGAGTGCTACCACACGATAATCGCGTCGTACCATAGCAACGAGACGCTGTCGCTAAGGCGCGGATGACAAATTAACCCCCCTCGGACTCGCGTCACGCTGCGACACGCTACAGCGCATGCGCCGAGTTCGGCTAGGTTCGAATTTTTCCCTTTAATTAGTTCGCGCGCGCGTGCGGGCGTGATGACGAGTGCGATGACGCAATCGCTCGCAGACGCCGCGATGTGATGATGCCCGCTGTGTCCCCGCGCTCCACCGTCCTCCGTCAATCCATCCATCGTTAATTAGGGCGCTGCCGTAATCATAGCGTATAGAGTCAGGCAGCGCGACTGCGGGAATCTATAGCTAATATCTCCTCCGCTCTTTCTCTCTCTCTCTCTCTCTCTCTCTCTCTCTCTCTCTCTCTCTCTCTCTCTCTCACTCCTCTCTTCTTTCAACCGAAGATATAATATATATTATCCTGCGACGGTCTTTATTGAGAAAATTGAGAAATATTTATTGGCTTAAAACGGGGTGTTACGTATATTAGAGGAAATCGTGAGCGATAGATGGATACATATCTTTGTATTAGTGTGTTATATAGTTGCACTAAGCTCCAGACATTTTTTAACAGGGATTCAAAGATCCGGTTTATCGCCAAAGACGCAAATACTTCGCCGATGTTGCTCTTGACTACAAACAGTGAGTATAAATAGTTAATTACGTATATGCCATATATGCCGCCTGCCTACGTTCCAACTTCAACGCTTAACCCCAACCTAACTGTTGTCCTAACCCTAACCTTACGCCCAACCCAGGGCCGTAGCCTGTGGGGGCAAGGTGGGGCAGATGCCCTCTAGATTTGGAGCATAATATAAAAAAATTAATTCTTCTACTAAAAGAGAATGATCGTAGTCAGAATGAAGGCTGCCCATCTACTCAAAAGTGCTCGTGAAATACAACCTCCTGCGATCTACATTTTCAAAATTTTCTGTGGGAGGACCCCCAGACGCCCCATCTGTTTCTCACCTCCTCCTTGAAATCATGGATCCGCCACCCCCATGAATTTTCTCAGCCTACGGCCCTGCAACCGTAGCCTTAACGGCAATACCACCCCTAGATCCTAATACACAAATTGCCTAGGAGAGCCCGAAACGGGCATTACACAGAATATATATATATATATATATATATATATTTATATATATATTAAACTGCGTATCTAATCCACAACCAGTAACTATATATAATCCTAAACCCTACCCTAACCTTAAGTTAAACGTTTAACTTTAACATATAGCTATAATCCTAAACCTAATACTGTATATTCCTTACTGCAGCGCTCAGTAAGTTATTATCACGTTTATCATGTAAATATCGTGGAAATTATATATATATATATATATATATATATATTTATTTATTTTTGTATCGACGCTGCATCGATTCTAACAGTGAGAGAGTTAATCGAGACACGAAACTCGCTATGTCTACACTATCACATGGGGCTTTGCTAAACGGCCGTACAACTGGGCAAAGCTATTAGCATTCATTTCGTGGCAACACACACACACGATGTCGACGTTCTGTAATTCGCTTCTGATTGTATCGACACCCGTGGTAATAATGACAAACCTAGCCTACGTGGCTCGCGCGTGTGCGCGTATATATACGTGCTGGTCTGTGTGTGCGTGTGTATGTGTGTGTGTGTGTGTGTGTGTGTGTGTGTGTGTGTGTGTGTGTGTGTGTGTGTGCGTGT